TAATCAAAGAATCTCTTCATCATGAACTTTTATACGAACTTTCATAATCAAGTTGGCCTCAATTGCTATGGCGACCTAAGAGTAGAATATGAAGAACTTTCAAGCCCTGTCAGTTTATTAAACTAGACATGCACTAACTATCTTATAAATCTTTTATAATATGTAAAAGAGTGACTGTTTTTCCATGAATCTCCTGGTCTATCATTGTTGAGCTATACATTTGGTATAAAGATGTGACGAAGAGATTTGTTTCGCTTCAGTCTGCTGACCACGACTACACCGGAATGCTGAGGCATTCGCAGTCCACGACGCTCCTTGCTTCACTTGACAACCTGCCCATATTCTGTCAGACGCCAGCCGAACTGAGCCTCATTCTCGAAACATCGAAAAAGATATCATCAAGCTGAGGAGGATAACCACATAATACAAGAAAAATAACTCGATTTCGGCTAATTGCTTACACCTGCATGTTTAAGATATTCGAGTAAAGAGAAGTTAAGAAGATGGATACTGATTCAATTAATTACTTTTTATTGTCACTTTAATAAAATGTACGCCATGTATGTGTGTGCATGTGTGTGTGTTTTTGTGGGATTATGTAGGTGTATCCACAGGTGTTTGGGTTCGCTAACATGCAGCATTAGGTCCTAGTATTTGTCTTTTTTTCTATCAAAGTTTAATTAACTTTTTAAGGTCAAGCAATGACGGTATTAGAATTGTGTGATACCGAAACTCCACCAGATTGTGGTGTTGAGCTTGGTATGTGGAGCTACATGTGTATAAAATGTGTAAATATCATTTTACAGATAACCGAACAAACTAAACATAGGACGTAATTTGATCTCGTGCTCGCAACTTGATCGTGTTGTCAGGGCGACGTAGTTGAGTGCACCTCGTCTGAAGTCTTCTGCTATAGTAGTTATGATCATCCATAGCATCTAAATTGGTACATTCCCGGACGTTTTCCCTGCATCGTAGTCGGCATCATTAGTCTGCTTTGCCTTGAAGAGCTGTAATTTGGTGCCAGTAGAACGTCTGAGAGTGTACCAATATTGCGGTTAAACGCTGTACATTCTTATGACTACTGTGGCAGAGGACTTCGGACGAGGTCCGTTCATCTAATTCCGGTCACCCTGACAACACTGCTACGTTGCGAAGACGAGGTCTAACCACTTCTATTCAGCGAAAGGAGACGGTGACTAAGACAAAGGTCAAAACATCTTGGATTTTTTTATCTCCGAGATTACAAACTCAACCAAGCAAATGCATTTGTATGGGTGTTTTTAATTGAGTCAGAAAAATCAACAGGCCATGACGACCCGGGACAATTTTTACTTTCTCTGACAATTACTAGCAAATATTTCGTATATACTGGCAAATTATCACTCATTGTTTCGTACTTGTGCATATGTACACACATACAATGGGAGATAAATGTGTGTCTGCATGGAGGGAGACGAAAGAAGGACAAAACATGTCAGTCTATGCTTTCCAAAATATACTTTTGTTTGAGTATCTATGACATTGAGAGATAGGCGGAATTGTTGCAAGGATTGTGTTCAGCTTTCATTTAATGACCGACCAGAGGTCAGCACGTCTTCACTGGTACCGAAAGAAGGTCCCTCGAGGACAGTAACAGCATTTATGTTCCAGTAAAATCATGCAATAAACATCCACTGTCGTTTTCTGCTGAGTTCAACTTCCACAGTTTTTCGTTGCACTCTTTCGGGCGAAATCAAATTCACCTCAAAATCCAGTAAGTGGTTGTAACAAGAATGTAATATACAGCATAATTGGATAATTCCCAAAAGGTGTCCTCATCCAGGAGGAACACAATTGATATGTCTGATTTACTGGTAGTCTAAAAAACCTACTCATTCACGAAAAATGTAATGTCGTCCATTGCTATAGCAAATATAAGTTTGCTTCATCGAGAATACCAACACACAATGTGATATGGAAAATGCTTGAAATTCCCCCGAATTCACACCTGCTCTGTGACCCAAGGGCACTCGTGGCAATGTAGCGGAGTTGCTAACGTGTCGCGCTTACACGCTGCAGTGTCATGGTTCGACTCCCGCTGGGGATGTTGATGGGATTGTCGACGAAATAAAGTTGTACTTGCTAAGAATAAAAACTGGGTTTCGAAGAATTTCTCAATGACATCTTGTCACACAACTCTCCATTTTGAAGGAAAAATTGGTTGGAAGGAATTTGGGAAATGGCAGATTAACTGACGCATAGTTGGGTTGTCGGATTGTTCAAGAAGTCTGTCCGCTCGCCGTCCCACGACCCTGATGAACCCATGCTAAGTCTTCGTCAGTACCGCCGTGACAAGCATCATCAAAACGAGAACCCATACCTCACGAAATCGATCAGGGCGTTGATCCGAGGACTTTTGTGGACAATCCGCCTGCCTTCACTCCGCCGTAATCCTGCTTCGGTTACCGATGAGACGATTTCACGGAATGCTTCCAATCATCTGTTCCTTCTAAATGGAAGGTCATGTCACAATTGTTGTTGAAATACCTTTCATGTCGTTTGAAGAGGCGAGTAGAAGGCATTCATAAGTTGGTCTCCCTGGAGGCAGAAGGAGGGTTGCCAGGAGTTGTGACTGTAGATTTGTGCCAACAGCTCCTCGACGCACCGCCCTGTAACCTCGATGAATTCTTGCCAATCTTTCGTTCGTCATGTCGTCGTCAGCGCGGGACACCAAGTTTTACGATAATTCAGCCAGCATGAATACGAGAAAGGTGTTGAGCTTACTCCCATTTTGAGTGAAAGTGTTTGGTGAAGAGATTCGCGGCTTGATCTCACCACAAAACGACGGCGGATTCCGCCTGATCCACTGTCGATTGACACTGTTTCCAAGGCAATCTCCTTCGATTCCAGTGAAAAAGTGCTAAGCTTTTGAATATATGAAGACCAAGATGTTGTGGATTCTGACTTGTCTCATTGATGATGCCGACTACGATGCCGGTGAAACGTCTGAGAATGTACCAAGTCCACTGTCACATGCTGGGAACCATGACAACTACTATGGCAAACGACTTCGGACTAGGTGCGTTCTACTCAGTCGCCCTGACAACAAGACCTGACAAAGAAGTCAACCCACTTCTGTGCTAGTTTTTGTTTGTCGTAAAACGGACATCCTTAGGGCCGGGTATCATCCTTACAGCCAGATTCAAGCTAACGAGCCGAGAAAGCTCGTCTACATGTTTGTCTAAAAGCAAAATGGCTGCTGTTGAAGCATGAAACAGATGCAATTGTGACCGAGCAGATGCATCCTCTCATAAATCACTTCTCTTTTGGATCGTGCAAGGTTGCCGCATTGCGTTCCATTGCATCTGGGTTGTGTACACGCGTGGGGTGTGAGATGATTTGCCATATTTGAGGCTAATCAAGCCTCCTCATGTTGCTCGGCTTTTCATCTCTCATCCTATCCTACAGACG